AATATTTTTGAAAATCAATTTTCCTAGGGGAGTCCTTGAAAGATATTATTAAAAAAAATCTACTTTCATAGCCAGGACCCAGGATATTTTTTAAAAAATCGAAAAAATTTTAAAATTTTTCGAATAATTGTTAAAAAAATTCTTAAAAAAAATCCATGTTCACAGATGGGTCCTTGGAAAATATTTTTGAATATCAATGTTCGTAGATGCGTCCTTAGAAGATATTTAAAAAAAATCCACATTCATAACTAGGACCTAGGATATATTTGTAAAAAAATCGACAAATTATTCCAAATTTATGCGAATAGTTGAAAATCAAAATGTTAACCTTTTTTGGGAAGGTGCGAGAGAGAGAGGGCCAATAAATTCGATACTCATATCAGATCTCTGGTTGAGAGAAATATTTGGAAAAAAAATCAGACCTTTTGTTGATAGAAATATTGGGACTTGAAAATTTTGAAGAGAAGCGGATGCTTATTAAAAATTTTATGGGGTTTTCGTTATTTAAAATTTTAACCCCTTTGTGGGGGGAGGTATTAGAAGGAACGGACCGATATATTCCAATTTCATACCAGATCTTGGTTAGTGGAAATATTGGGGTGTGCCGAGTTTGGAAGGAATCGAATGTTTATTGTGCGTTTTATGAGCTTCATGGTTATTCAAAAATGTTAACCCTTTGTGAGCGAGGTACCAGACGGAGTGGTCCGATATATCCCACCTTCTCACCAGATCTTGTGTTAGTAGAAATATTGGGAAGTGCAAAATTTGAAGAAAATCGGATGCTTATTTCACACTTTATACGATTTATAATTATTCAAAATGTTGATCCCTTTGTGAGGGAGGTACTAGAAGGGGTAATCCGATACATACTAACTTCTCACCAGAACTTGTGTTGATAGAATTATTGAAATGTGTGAAGTTTAGAGGTAATCGAATTCTTAGTTCGAATTTTATGAGTGAGATAATTATTCGAAATTCTGAACCCTTTGTGGGGTAGGTACCAGAAGGGGTGGTCCGATATATTCCAATTTCACACCAGATCTTGTGTTGATAGAATTATTAGGATGTGCCGAGTTTGAAAGGAATCGAGTGCTTATTTCGCGTTTCATGACCTTCATAGTTATTCGAAAATGTTGACCCTTTGTGGGGGAGGTACTAGAATGGGTGGTCTGATATATTCCAATTTCATACCAGATCTTGTGTTGATTGAAATATTAAGATATATGAAGTTTAGATGCTTCCTTCGTACTTTATGAGACATATAATTATTCAAAATTTTGAACCCGTTGTGTGGGAGGTACCAGAAGGGGTGGTCCGATGCATTTCAATTTCATACCAGATCTTCTCTTCATAGAATTATTGGGATGTGCCGAAATTCCAAGATTATAAGAAGCCTTTAAAAATATATTTTAAAAAATCCAATCTTTTCGAATTTTCTTCAAAATCCATACCTATCCAGGGTCCTTGAAAAAATACATTTTTAAATCTTGGCTTGAAGATTTCCAAAAATATTTTAAAAATCCCTGTTTATGGCTATTTTTAAATTTCAAGTTTATATCTTGTCCTTTGAGATATAAAATATTTTTTTTTTAATTTTTGACGTATTTTTTTATCTTATAAAAATTATAAAATAAGTTGTGGTAGGTCATTTAAAAAATATTTTAAAAATGGAAGAGTGTAGAAAATCCTTTAAAAATATATATTTTTTTAAATCCGGGCTTTTCGATGATCTTTAAAAAAGTTTTTAAAAATTTAGGCTTGTTTTATATCCTTTGAAAAATGCCAGGGATATAAAAAGCATTTTAACATTTTTTTATAAAATAATATTTTCCAATTTTCTTAAAAATCCAAAAATATTTAAAAAAAATGTAGGCTCGTCTTATACCCTTTAAGAAAGTCCAAGATTATGAGAAGCCTTTAAAAATATGTTTTAAAAAATCCAATCTTTTCGAATTTTCTTAAAAATCCAAACTTAGCCACGGTCTTTGAAAAAATACTTTTTAAATTTTTGGCTTAAAAAATATCCAAAAATATTTTAAAATCCCTATTTATGGCTGCTTTTAAATTTCAAGTTTATATTTTGTCCTTTGAAATATTAAAAATATATTTTTTTAATTTTTGACGTAATTTTTTTTTATAAAAATGACAAAATTAGTAGTGGTAGGTCCTTTAAAAAAATTTTTAAAAATGTAAGAGTCTAGAAAATCCTTTATAAATATTTTTTTTTTAAATCTAGGCTTTTTGATGGTCTTTAAAAAATATTTAAAAAAATAGGTTTGTCTTATATCATTTTAAAAAGTCCAGGGATATAAAAAGCATTATAAATTTTTTTTTTGTGAAAAAATCTTTTCGAATTTTCTTGAAAATCTAAGCTTAAAAAATATTTTTTTAAATTTAGGATTTTCGGTCTTTAAAAAATATCTAAAAAATTGAGGCTTGTCTTATATCCTTTAAAAAAGTCCAGGGACATAAAAAGAATTTTACATTTTTTTTTTGTGAAAAATCTTTTCCAATTTTCTTCAAAATCCAAGAAAAAAATTTTTGGTTTAGCAAAAATCCTTTAACACAGAAGGTTATCAAAGGTCCTTTTAAAATTAAATTAAAAAATATTTAAAAAATCCCCATTTATTGTTGGTCCTTTATTCTTTTATATTGCATTTTTATGTCTGGTCCTTCGAAAAATAAAACAGTTTTAAATCGAATGCCTTTAAAAAATATTTAAAAAAATTAGGTTTGTCTTATATCCTTTAAGAAAGTCCAGGGATATAAAAAGCACTATAAAAAATTTTTTTGTGAAAAAATCTTTTCGAATTTTCTTGAAAATCCAAGCTTAAAAAATATTTTTTTTTAAATCTAGGCTTCTCGGTGTTCTTTAAAAAATATTTAAAAATATTAGGTTTGTCCTATATCCTTTTGAAAAAGGTCAGGGATATAAAAAGCATTTTAACATTTTTTTTGTGAAAAAAATCTTTTCCAATTTTCTTCAAAATCCAAGATCATTCAAGGCCCTTGAAAAAATACTTTTTTAAAAATTTTGGTTTAGCAAAAATCCTTTAAAAACAAAAGTTTAATAAATGTCCTTTTAAAATTAAATTAAAAATATTTAAAAAATCCCCATTTATTGTTGGTCCTTTATTCTTTTATATTCCATGTTTATGTCTGGTCCTAAGAAAAATAAAAAAAAAATTTATCGATGGCCTTTAAAAAATATTTAAAAAAAATTAGGTTTGTCTTATATCCTTTAAGAAAGTCCAGGGATATAAAAAGCATTATAAAAAAAATTTTTTGGTGAAAAAATCTTTTCGAATTTTCTTGAAAATCCAAGCTAAATAAATATTTTTTTTAAATCTAGGCTTTTCGGTGGTCTTTAAAAAATATTTAAAAAAAATTGAGGCTTGTCTTATATCCTTTAAGAAAGTCCAGGGACATAAAAAACCTTTTAATTTTTTTTTTTTTTTTTTAATGGAAAAATCTTTTCCAATTTTCTTAAAAATCCAAACTCATTCAAGGCCCTTGAAAAAAAATGCTTTTTAAAATATTTTGGCTTAGCAAATATCCTTTAAAAAACAAAGGGTTATCAAAGGTCCTTTTAAAATTAAATTAAAAATATTTAAAAAATCCCCATTTTTTGTTGGCCCTTTATTCTTTTATATTGCATGTTTATGTCTGGTCCTAAGAAAAATAAAACATTTTTTAATCGATGGCCTTTAGAAAATATTTAAAAAAAATTAGGTTTGTCTTATATCCTTTAAGAAAGTCCAGGGATATAAACAGCATTATAAAAAATTTTTGTGAAAAAATCTTTTCGAATTTTCTTGAAAATCCAAGCCTAAAAAATATTTTTTTTTAAATTTAGGCTTTTCGGTCTTTAAAAAAATATTTAAAAATTTGAGGCTTGTCTTATATCCTTTAAGAAGTCCAGGGATATAAAAAGCATTTCAACATTTTTTTTGTGAAAAAAATCTTTTTCAATTTTCTTGAAAATCCAAGCTCATTCAAGGCCCCTGAAAAAATACTTTTTCAAAAATTTTGGCTTAGCAAATTTTGGCTTCAAAAAATATTTAAAAAAAATGTAGGCTCGCCTTATATCCTTTAAAAAAGTCCAAGGTTATAAGAAGCCTTTTAGAATATTTTTTAAAAAATCCAATCTTTTCGAATTTTCTTAAAAATCCAAAATTAAAAAAATTTTTTTTTTAAATCTAGGCTTGGCTTAGAAAATTTTCAAAAATATTTTAAAAATCCCTGTTTATTTCAGTTTTTAAATTTCAAGTTTATATTTTGTCCTTTGAAATTTTTTTTTTAATTTTTGACGTATTTTTTTATTTTATAAAAATTACAAAATAAGTTGTGGTAGGTCGTTTAAAATATATTTAAAAAATGGAAGATGTAGAAAATCCTTTTAACATTTTTTTGTGAAAAAAATCTTTTCCAATTTTCTTGAAAATCCAAGCTTAAAACATATTTTTTTTAAGTCTAGACTTTTCGGTGGTCTTTAAGAAATATTAAAAAAAAATAGGTTTGTCTTATATCCTTTGAAAAAGGCCAGGGATATAAAAAGCATTTTAACTTTTTTTTTGAAAAAATATTTTCCAATTTTCTTTAAAGTCCTTGAAAAAATTATTTTTCAATTTTTTTTTGCTTAGCAAATATTCTTTAAAAAATAGGAGGTTATCAAAGGTCCTTTTAAAATGAAATCAAAAATATTTTAAAAATCCCCATTTATTGTTGGTCCTTTATTTTTTAATTCCATGTTTATATCTGGTCCTTAAAAAAATAAAACATTTTTTTCTTTAATTTTTTTTTTGTAATTTTTTCAATTATTTTATTTTATAAAAATAACAAAAAAAGGAGTAATTGATTATTTTGAAAATTTAAATTCCATTATTTTTAATGAATGCAATTTAAAAAATTTTCAATACATTTTGGGTTTTTTTTGTAAGGCAATAACAAAGCTCTTTCTCTTGGTAGACATCTTTTTTTTATAAAATTTGGAAAAAATATTTAAAAAATAGTAAAAAAAATAATAAATTAATCGCTTTGGAAGCATCCTGCGTCATAATATCTGTTTAGCTTGTTCTCTATCTCTCCTTCTCTCCATCTCTCTCTCTCTCTCTCTCTCTCTCTCTCTCTCTTGATTCTTTTCTCCATCCTTCTCCCCCATTTCAATTTTCACTTAATTTATTCAAAGAAAAACTAAGCCTCCTCTTGGTGGCATCCAGGGTTTTGTTGTCCCCCTCCAGCGTGGAGTCCTCATGCTCATCCTCCTCATATTCACTGGACGAATTGTGGCCACTGTCTGGACTCAGATTTCGCATCATTTTCTGTGGATGAATTTCATCGTGTATCATTTCGGCCTCGAATACCTTTCTCAAATTGTGAGAATGCAGCAGAGGGGTGTGGGAATGATGAGAGGATTTCCCCAATAGCTTGTGGGCCGAGTGTAGGACACTGGCCTTAATTTGTTCCAGTTTACGTTTACGTCTAACTCCTCGCTGGCGGCGTAGCAGACCCAAATCGAGTTCTTCTGGTTTTTCCAGACGACATTGAGATTCTTCCAGGGCTTTTGTTTGCGGAGAACATATTTCCCTTTCGTTGAAGAGGCATTTTTTGGTTAGCTTCGATCTGAATTCCTGTTCCTTTTGACGATATCTGGCCTTTTCGGAATCCCAGACTTCCTGCAAATCACTGGCCGGATCATCGGCTGGGGTGTAGGAGGGTGACATGTTGCTGGGGCAGTGTTTGTGTAGTTTCTTTTGTTGTTTGCGATTGCTTTCCAAAATGGCATCTATCATCCGCTCCAGCGTAACATCACCCATTCGGGAGGAGCTGAGAGAGGATTCCTCCATGTAGTGGGGATATTTGAAGTTAAGGGATTTGGGTTTGAGGAAGGTTTTGTTTTCCAGGGATTCTTCTGAAAGGCGGGCAGATGTGGTAGTGGTGGTGGTGTTGGTAGTTTTGGCCAAGGGAGTTTCCTGATTTTGGCTGGGTGTAATGTAGCGAGGCTTTTCAAAATACGAATCGGGTATGCCCACACCCCTTAGGGCCAGCAGAGGTCCTGGTATCAGGGAACAGGGCGAGTACTCCACATCAAAGGTGGGCAATGTGGAGGCATAGTTGGAGGGCATGGTGCTGCGTGGAGCCTGAGGCAGGGGTTCGGGGGTCTTCAGCAGGCTGGGAGAGGTTTTGTGTAACGTTAACCTTTTGGGGGAGGGAAAGGCCAGGGGCTCAGCCAGAATATTACTCAAGTCCTTGAGGCTATCCAATTTCCTGGAAGGACTTTCATTGAAGCTACGAGAATTCGGATGCAGCGGTGTGGAGGTGTATTGATTTTCCTTGTCATGCCAGGAGGTGCGGGGCCTCAAACAGCTAACATCGGAAGATTTGCGTTTTAGCCGTCTTCGTTGGGCCTGTGTTAGGCCTGGCTGGGCTTCCACAGAGGATGGTAGATTCAAGTGTTCCGTACTCTGCATATACGTCTGGCGGGGACCATTTACAGCCCATTTCAACATTTTCAAGCTAAAATTAGAAGAGAAAAGAAGGGGAAGAGAAGATTAGTAAAAGAAGATCCGGTTTTAATTGTCTGACAATTTTTTGAGATTTTTTTTCAATTTTTTTTTCTTTTGGTGGCCTCTGCAACAAAACTTTTTGTGTTTGGCATACAAAATGAGCCAAAAACCCAAACTTGTTTTGTGAATCCGCAAAAAAAAAAACATTTTTCGCGCGCAAAAATTCCCAAGAACAACCATTGAAATTCTGCCGGGCTTGTGAGTGTGCGCCTGTGTGTGCAAGCATAAAATGTTTATTTAAGGAAGAAGAACCCCAGGCCATGAGACTCATAATTGGGAGTTTCATGCGGCAGAGGAAAACAAGCTTTGAGCTTTTCAAAAAAAAAAAAAAAAAAAAAATCGCAGCAACAACAACAAAAACCAAAAATCATGCTGAGTTGGCGAAAACAAAAAATTCTTAAAATCCTCCTTTCCTCGGGTTTCATGGAAGATTAACAACCCCCCAGTTGGCCGAAGGAGGCAGGAGGAGGAAAAGAAGAAAGAGTTTTTTTTATTTTCGAATCTTTTTTGAAATATTTTTTTTTTGCAGGATTTCAAAAGGATTTGCTTTTCAGTACTTTTTTGCAAAACTGATTTTAGGTGGTTGATATCCTTTTAAATAAGTGGCTCGATAAGAGGTCCTTGAAAAATTATTTGGGCATTTACAGTCCACCAAAAAAAAGAAAAAGTGAAGGCAAAAGCAAACAGCCAAAGTGGGAATTTAAATGGCAGTTAAAAAAATCACTCACACCTAAAGACCCAAAAAAATCAACAGGGTTCGGCAAAGCGAAACTTACCTTTTTTGATAAAAAATATCCAATAGTCAAAAAAAGTAATCCACAAAGGGGTTATGAGTAATCCAAAATTTTCAGCAGCAGTTCGAAATGTTCATTTATTATTTTGAGTATTTTTTAAATATTTCTTTTCAATTTATTTTTCACAAAAAATCAACAGTTTTTATTTTTTTTTTTTTTTCAAAATTATTTTGCGTTTAAGTTATTTTTCAAAATTTTCTTCACATTCTCATTTTTAATTAAAAATTATTTTCTTCGAATACTTTTGCCGCCTGCTAGGTCCTCACTTCATGGCACTCGTTTGGCAACTGAACTAAAGATGTGCACGGTCACAGGTTTAGTAGGGAAATACTGTGCTCTTTACAATCCACCCTGGCCTTTTATACCAAAACCGCTCACTGGGAGCACAATAACACATTAAAGAGCGTAAAAATTGTTGCTGCTCTACTCTTGGAACAAAGAGAGAGAAACAGGGAATGACACAAAATCCTGACTCCCTAACGGAAATCATGCTATGGGAAGAGAGATGTGAAAGAGTAAAAGAGAGAGGGAGATAAAACTCTCTTTATTTAGGCAACCAAAATCTCTTTACGAATGCAAAGGATTGCAATTTTAATTAGGGCAGCCAAGGAATGTAATTGATAGTTTTTTGTAGTTTTTGTTATTGTTGTTGTTCCTAAATCCTTCCCCTCACAGGGTCATAGCAACAGTTTGTCCCTGATTTTCTTTTTTGGGAAAGGGAAAATTAAAAAAAAAAACCTAGGGAGGATAGATGGATGGATGGGTGTCTTAGCTAATCAATAACTTTTGATCTGAAAATGTCACCAAGACACCAAAAAAAAAAGAATGATGAAGAAGGAAGAAAAAAATCTAGGGCGTCATCTGAAATTAATTTAATTTGGAGCCCAATCACCAAACGGTGAGAAATGATATGGAGTGAGAAAATTTTTCTAGGATGTTCAGGAAAAAATAATAAAGAGACAATTCTATGATGCAAAAAAAATGTGGCCCTGTAATTTTTTTTCGTTTCAATTTCAAAAAATGGTGAGAAAAAGATAAATCAGGATGGGAGAGGATGACCAAGGATGTAATATAAAAAAAATTGTCTCAGATTTAGATAAGAATCCTTTGTCCCATACTTCCTGGGAAATGAAAAAAATGGTTACCCAAAAAAACGAAAAAAAAAGGAACCCAATGCTGGGAATTTTTTAAGGACTTCTAGAGAAGATTTTTGAATTTTGTGGAAATTTTGTAAAGCTGAAAAATATTTTCCGAAGCAAATATTTCCAAGGCTGGCATAAGTGTTTGACAATCTTGGAAATATTTTCTAGGGGTTCAGTCATTAAGATAGAATATTAAAAAAAAAAAAAACATTTTTTAAAAGACTCTCAACATTAAAAAAAATATGTTAAGGATCCACAACAGTTGTGGACTTCTTAAAATTATTTTAAAGGACCTTCAAGAGTCATAAATTTTTTTAAAGGGCCACATCAGTTGTGAATATTTTTTTAAGGACCTGCTTCAAATATTAGTTTTTTAGAAATATTTTCTTAAGGACCCGCTTCAAATATTAGTTTTTTAAAAATAATTATCAAAGGATCTGCAACAGTCGTGGATTTTTCAGAAATATTTTTTTTTTGAAGGAGCCACAACCTTCGAGCATTTTTATAAAAATATTTTTTAAAGACTCCACACAGTAGGAAATTTTTGAGAAATATTTTTTAAAAGACCACAGTAGTCGTGATTTAAAAAAAAGGATTTTAAAAATAAATATTGTTTAAAGGACCACAACAGTCGTGTATTTAAAAGAAATATTTTTTAAAGCTTATCTACAAGCGTGAATCATTAAAAATTATTTCCTAAGGGTCCCATAAAAGCCATGGATTTTTTAAAAATATTTTTAAGGACCCTCAAATGTCGTGGATTTTTTGAAACACTTTTTAAAGGATGCAAAAGCTCTTGGATTTTTTTAAATAGTTTCTAAAGGACCCACAACAGCTGCGAAATTTCAAAAATTAATTTAAGGACCCACAACGGTTATAGTTAAAAAAAATTTAAGACACCCTATCCGACGTGGATATTTTAGAAAAATATATTTTTTTAAGTACCCACAACAACTTCAATTTTTAAAAATATTTATTAATTTAATTTTTAATTTTTTAATTTTTAAAAATAAATTTAATAATAATTTTAATTTTTAAAAATATTTTCAGAGGACATCCACAGTCGTAGATTTTTTAAAATATTTTTCAAAAGAGGGCGCTTGAGGGCGTCATAATTTTTTTAAAATTATTTTTGGACCCATAACAAAAAATAAATAAAGGATCTGTAAATTTCACGGATTTTTAAAGGACTAACTTTTTAAAAATACTTTTTTTAATGGCCAGTTTTTCTAAATTAAAATTTTGTTTGAAATTATTTTTTAAAAGACCCTTGACCGAAGTGGACTTGGAAAGACCCACAACAACAGTCGAATTAAAAAAAAAATATTTTTTAATGGATTTTTCCGAAATATTTTTATATGGAACTGATTTTTAAAAAAAAAAAATCCTAAAACATCTTAACTGACGTGGATTTTTTAGAAACACTTTTTTGGAAAACTGTACAGCCGTTGATTTTTTAAAAAAGAATTTTTAAAGACTCTGAACAGTCGTGTTTTTTTAATATTTTTTAATGGCCCACGACGGTCGTGGATTTTTTAAAAACATTTTTAAAAAGGACTACAACAGTCGTGCATTTTTAAAAACCTTTTTTTGAAGGACCTACAAAAGTCGTGGATTTTTAAAGAAATTATAATAGTCGTGGAATTTTTAAAAATAGCTTAAATGTCCTTTTTAAAGGACCAACAACAACCGTGGATTTCTTCAAAACATATTTTTAAAAGAACAACAAAAGCTGTGGATTTTTTTTAAAAATAGTTGTTAAGAGACCCACAACAGAATTTTATTTTTAAAAATATTTTCAAAGGATCCTCAACAGTCTTGGGCCGTGAATTTTTTTAAAAATTATTTGTTTTAAGAATTCTACAAAAGTCGTGGATTTTTTAAAATTGTTTTCAAAAAATCTACAAAAGTCGTGGATTTTTTAAAAAATATTTTTCAAAAAATCTAAAGGAGTCATGGATTTTTTAAAATTGTTTTCAAAGAATCTACAAAAGTCGTGGATTTTTTAAAAAATATTTTTCAAAAAATCTACAGGAGTCATGGATTTTTTAAAAATATTTTTTAATCGAACCACAACGGAATATTTTCTAAAAGACACACAATAGTCATGGATTTTTTAAAAAATATTTTTCAAAAAATCTACAGGAGTCATGGATTTTTTAAAAATATTTTTTAATCGAACCACAACGGAATATTTTCTAAAAGACACACAATAGTCATGGATTTTTTTAAATATTTTTTAAAGGACCACAATTATCACAATTCTTGAACATTTTTTAAAAAGAGCCTCAAAAGTAGTAGATTTTTAAGAAATATTTTCTAAACGACTAAAGACAGTCTTGAATTTTGATACAGTCGTGGATTTTTAAAAAATATTTTTTAAAGACCCACAAAGGTAGTGAATTAAAAAAATAGAGGATCCGCAACAGTGGTGGATTAAAAAAAAATTTCCAGAAGTCCAGCCATGACGTGGATTTTTAAAAATATTTTTAGAAGACCAGTCATGAAAGTGGAATTAAAAAAATCAGAGTACCAGCCATGAACGTGGATTTAAAACAAAAACCAAAGGACCAGCCATGAACGTGGGTTTAAAAAATCCAGAGGATCAGCCATGAACGTAAATTTTTTATTTTTTTTTCAAGAAACCAGCCTGGAACCTGGGATTTTTTATTTTTTTTTCAAGAGACCTGCTTTGAACCTTGGTTTTTTAAAACTATTTTCTGAAGTCCGATCTATAAACTTGGATTTTTATACCTTCATACCTTTTATACCTTATATGACTGCAGAGAGTATTTGATTACCACACATGCCAGAACATGCCTAATCGAAATAGCGCTTTTAGACCTTAGGTCTCTTTGGACCAAATCCACTTCAGAATATTTAGTGTCAATCTGGGGATGTCTGTCCGTCTGTATATATGTCTGCCTAGTGAGTATGATTTTTTTTTTGAAAGATCTCTTTGGACCAAATCCGCTTCAGAACATTTGGAGTCAATCTGGGGGTGTCCGTCCGTCTATATAATTGCCTGCCTGGTGAGTACAATTTTTTTATTTGTTTTTTTTTTTCTTTGAATTTTTTAAAGACCCATCTCTAGTCCTGGAGTGCTGAGGTGAGGTTCTTAGACATATATTCTTAAAATCCATCTTCAAGCTTGAATTTTTAAAAATATTTTCCAAAAGTCCATCAATTAATATAGACTTTTTAAGATTAAATTTCTTAAGCCCAATGGTTTTTTTTAAATAATTTCCAAAAAATTATTTTTTTAAATTCTTTTTTTAATATTTTTTCTGGGGATTTTTCAAATATATGTCATTTTTAATATCCTCAAAATAATGGATTTTCTTAATTACTTTTCGATACTCTTTTTTATGTAAATAACTTGACGTAACCTCTTTTCCCAAGAAGTTTCGACATTTTACAACATGTAGTGACAACTTGACAAAGGTCAACGGGGTTAAACATCATCTGAGCAACATCCTTTTTAATCAAGTCGTGCATAACAGCCAAAGGAAAATTATTTTGTTTTTTTTCCCCGATGTAAAGCTATTTTTACAGCCGCATTTAATTGCTGCGCCTGCAACCCTTTTCAAAATAAAATTAAAATAATTTTCAATTTTGTTTTTCTTTTCCCATTTTTTTTGGTGAATTATTTAAATGAAATCCGAATTAAATTGTTCGTTAAATCTCCCCAAAAAATTATTCAGGACTTTTATTCGAAAAAATGGTACAAAATTAACAAAAAATCTTTGGGAATTTCTTTGGGCCTACATCCGGCTTCCCATGGTGTAATGCAGCCAGTGAGAGGTCTGGCCAGCTTGGTCTGTCTGTCTCTGGCAATTGACATCCCCCTGGGTGGTGTTTTCTGATTGACACTGATAAGGGTCACAGCAGCAACAACAAATCTCAATCTCCTTAAATTTGCATCTTAAATTACGTGGAGAAATTTTATTGAATTCCAAATTCGGTAAGCAACAATTAATTATCTATCCCCTGAGAACGGGGAGGGAGGTTGATTTGGGAAAAAAACACAAGAAAATTTGTACCAAAAAAATTCCAATACAGAATATCAATAAATTTGGGATAGTTAATGCCGATGTGGTTGTTTGTGTAATTTCCTGGTAGTTGATTTGTTGATGCAAATTTGTTGGCCAATATTTTTGGGCATTGTTGACCA